AGCGAGCGCGTCGCGGGGTGGGGGGGGAGGGGAGCGGGGAGGGCCTGGAGGCGCGCGCCTGGCGGCGGCGGGGGCAGGCGAGGGGGCCGACGGCGGCGGGGGAGCGGACACGTCGCAGATAAGCTAGCTACGCAAAGGGCTAGCTTAATCCTTCACAAACTAGATGGGTCGTGCTAGTATACACTAGAAATCCCGTGGGCAAGTAAAGCTAAACAACCTTGGCCCTATCATATCTCACTATCTCGGTCAGCTCTTCAGTTTACTCCTGGTTTGTCCACAGTTATTAATAAAATCTACTATACCATATGTGAGACAAGATGGCATACATGCTATGGTACTAAGGACCAAGAGAATTAAGCATGGCAAAGAGAAATCACACAATACATGATCAATCCAAAATGTATGCTATACGGCCTTCTGTTTTTTTGGTAAGTTTACTACATGGTGTCCATGTAGTAGTCATAGTGCATTAAGTTTTTGAGTTTGAGTTCAGTCCTGTTGAGTCCTATATGTGCTATTTAAGCCAAAAAGAATCGTGCCTTTTAGTCCAAGCACTACTGGAATTTTCCTATACGTCGGGTGTTCGGCTCTTCGCCGAGAGCCAAACCATGGGCACTCGGCAAACGTACAGACGCCGAGGGCCACACTCGGCAACCATGGCTTCACGGCAACTAGATGACGTTGCTAACATAGAATCACGGCGAACAAACTACGTTCGGCAAACGGCGCAGACGCCGAGAGTACCACACGGCAAAGAGAAGCCACATGGCATGCCCGTTCGCAACTGACGGCACCGTCACTTTCTGCTATCTATATCAAGAGCCATGATGTTTCGCTCGCTTAAAAACCTGTCACAGAAACATTCAAATTATTTGTTAAATTTTTAAAAACAATAATATGACACTCAGTTGACTGATACCTTTGCCAAGAGCTGCGCTCGGCATACCACTGTTGACTGATAGCTTTGAAACTGATCGGTGGGACCCATTGGCCCACATGTCAGAGGTACTTTTACCGAGAGCCACCGCCCTCGGAAAAGAATGCCACAGATGGAGTGTTGACGAGCCATTCTTTTTTGAGAGTGTCCCTCGGAAAGGAATGTCTCTACTGGAGTGCCATTCTTTTACGAGAGCGTCCCTCGGAAAAGAAAACCACTACAGTAGTTAAAGTGCTTAGGCGACCCCTTTTTCGAGAGCGACGCTCGTGAAAGTGAGTGTTTCCGAGTGTTGCTCTCGGTAATATGTCCCATTGCTTCTGTTGTGAAGCTATTTCTTATCTAATCCCTGCAACTGAAAACAACTAGATACATATTCTGTCTATATCTTTAGTGCAACAAATGTTATCATATCAAATGAATGTGGGAGCTAGGAGCTCCCTAGAAATTCCTCGAGCAACACAACACACACGTAGTCATAACCCAAACTAGTTCACATAAGGTAACTCAAACTAGTTCACATAGGCCATTGTTTCATACAAGTTCATAGAGCAAAAAAATTGCTCGAGCACATCACACACAAGTTCACATATTCATACACAGGGTTAATTCATTGAAGTTCACATCTTGCAAAACACATGCACATCACACAGAAGTTCACATCTTCATACACCGCCTTGAGGAGAAGGAGGGGCATTGTTTCCATGGGGTTAACCTTTTGGAGGAGGAGGAGGAGGAGGAGGAGGAGGGGCATTGTTTCCACTGCCTTGAGATTTTTTAGGAGCCTATAAGATTAGAGTCATGTGAGCATTATTCATCGCTATATAATGAATGGGGCCAAATTTAGAGAATGTTCTACCTCTAGTTTTTTCTCGAGCAATTTGAACCTTTGTTCATTTCTGTTCGTTACTTCTCTCTTCTCTCCTCAGCCTGCCGCCTTTGCTCAGCTTGCTGCCTTTGATCCACTTCAGCAGCCCGTTGGTCCGATAAAGCCTGTAATATGGCATTAGGCTCATATAGGTTGCAAGGGTGCTATTTCGAGGCATGGACAAATGAATGGATATGATGCTAACCTTGAGACGTGTGATCTCATGTGACGCGGCGGTTGGGCGACTCCGCATGGACGGAGTTGAGCTTGTGCTCGGCGCGCGTATCTCATGGAGCTTGCGATGCAAGGAGGTGGCGGTCATGGCCCTTCCCCTCGCCAGCAATGATGAGCAACTCAGGATCAAGTGGCTTGGACGTAGGTTCGGCGTCCTACCCACCTCCTGGAAGACCTCTTTGAAGGTCCCGTACCTCTCCTTCGCCGACAGGCTGCAGAACTCGACGCCATCCTTCCCCTTGTGGCCTTCTTTCCAGGCCTCTAGGATGCAGACCGGGCGACCAAGCTCCGCCTCCTGCAAGAGTAACCATCAAGCTTAATGAACGGAGATGCACCGTGAAAAGTTAACATCTTATTCCACATACCATGTGTTGCTTCAAAGTGGTTAGGTTGCGGCTCTCCTGGACATGTGCTGGGCCTGACATTTTCGCGCAATCGTTCCCCTTCTCCACATGTTGCGCCTGCCATGCTGGGTCACACCACATGTCAACCAGGGCTTACCAACAATCTTCCTTGATCAAGGGTTCCTTCACCTAGTCAGACATAATCGAATCATTGACTAATGCATGTAACAAGCGGCAGATGACTCAAAGTACTAGCAAGCAATGTTGTCACTTACCATCGACAAGTATTCTTCTCTCTCCAAGTTGGTCTTGCAAGTTGGTCTTAAGCCCCTTGTCATTGAGCGTCTGACATTGCATCACGGCCTTGTATCGTGTGCTTGACGTCGGAAAGTATCTTCCGGGCTGATTTCTCGGCAAAGGCAATACTCGGCGTATGTTCTGGGACCCGACAATCAGGTGGTTGACACGTGGCTGTTTCCTATTGGCTTGCTTTGCCAAGCGTGGTTGTCGGCAAAGTTGTGGCTCGGCATAAGGCGTGGGATCCGCTTGTAAGGTAGTGGACACATGGCTATTTCCTACTGGCTGGCTTTGCCGAGCGTTGCTCTCGGTAAAGATAGTGCTCGGTGTATGTTGTGGGCTCCACCTGTCAGATGCTTGCCACGTGGCGTCTCTCTTGGCAAAGTGAGCTCTCGGCATATGGTGTGGGTCCCGCCTAGGCGTGGGCATTCGGTCTAACCGGACCGATCGGTTCGGTTTTCCAGGTCACAAAGTTTATCGGTTTGTTGAAAATTGCAGACGATCGGCTCCTGCAGAATTAGGTAACCGAATTTTCTTGGAACCGAACAATCGGTTCTTTCATCGGTTCCAACCGAATAGATCCGAACTTCATGCGCAAGAATACATTTTCTTCCTTAGTCTACCTCCGCACGTTTTGGTACGAGCAGGCACTTGAAACAAATGGCTAGCTACCTAGTACCTTTTATAGTCTTTCTTACGCTTCCTTTCTCAGTGGCTATCCGATGTGGTACTAAACCACAAGCTGACGTACTACTTGGTCAAATTTTTTGCATGGGCCGATTGCTACACTTTTTGGGCCATACCAGACGTGTACGTGGCTAAACTGAGATAAGTTTTTTTTTTTGAGTGGTGCTAAACTGAGATAAGTGAAAAAGGCATAGAGAGACTTGGAGCTGCCGTGTTGGGCTAGCTGGGCCAATTGGCCTAGGACAGCGGGGGCAGAGAATGCAGGAGGTGCATGGCGTATTTCTCAACAGAAAAAAAAGGAGGTGTGAGGCGTGGTCTGTAGTTTCGGGTTATTAGGTCTTTTCGGTTAACCAAGTGTTAAAACCGAAATTAGAGAATAAATTTCGGTTCTATATATTTAATAACCGAAATAGGAACCACACTTTTCGGTTCTGTTCCATTCGGTTTCGGTCCCGATTCTTTTGGTTCGGTGCAACGGTTCTTGGTTAATATGCCCACCCCTAGTCCCGCCTGTCAGGTCCTCGCCACATGGCTGTTCCCTATTCCCTAACTTTGCCAAGAGCCGCTCTCGGCAAAGCTACGCTCGGCGTATATTGTGGGACCTGCTTGTCAGGTGGTTGCCACGTGACAGCTTCCTATTGGCTAGCTTTGCCGAGAGCCACTCTCGGCCTCTCGGCAAAGAGACCATGTGGCAACCTCCGTTTCCGTCTGTTGTATGTGAGTCCCTTTATTTTGCCAATGCGAACTGTTTGTCACTCGGCGAAAGAGTTTGCCGAGTGCCCGTGTTCTGGCTCTCGGCAAATTCCTGTTTGCCTGAGAGGTGTACGCCGGGTAGCCTTTGCCGAGTGCAACTCTCGGCAAAGCCTTTGCTGAGGGTTTTAGGCCCTTTGCCGAGTGTTTTTGGCACTCAGCATAGGTGGCGATCCAGTAGTGAAGCAAAAAGATAATCCCTCGTCTCTGATTCTTTTGCCCTTTCTCAACCTTCCAAAAATTTAATTCCTGAGTTCCTGACATCCTGCAATGAATATCATGCTGAAAACGGCACCGACTTCTCAATGCTGTCCCCAGCATCTGGTGAGAGCACAGATCTATGGATCAAGTCAGCACGGAAAATTTCTGTACTGTTAGTGCTACTATATCTTTGTAAAAAAGGTCATTCGTCATTTATAACTACAAATTGATTCAGTTGTATCATGGTCTTGACTGGTATGCCTTTATTGTCAGTTTACAAAGATGGAGGGAGGGAAAGGAGAATAAAAGCGGAAAAAAAGAAAGAGAGAAACAAGAAATGCACTTCTACTGTTAGGTGCTACTTTGTTCGCACCGAGTGTGACTGGGACAAGGGTGTGCCTTATATCCTCTCCAAGAGAACAGTTGGTGATGCCCGCAAGCTTTTTATGCACGTACACACTGTCCCCAGTGTGGCAAAATATGTGGCCAGGTTAGCAATCTTATGTACTTTTGCTACCCAGTATCACTAATAATGCATACGTTTAATCATAAATTCTAGGATATCTCATGTTGTTACTTGTTGGTAAATCTTGTGCTCTTGCTTTCTGCATTGGACTACTTACAGAATAACCAAAACGAGGTGCCACACTGTGAAAACATGAAGTTTGACTATATTTGGCGATACATTTGGTGCAAGTCATTGCCCACTTCTCTTTTTTGCTTGTTTCTTTCAGTTTTCCAAATATTACTGCGCATGGATTTTACAATGCCTTATACGATGGAGATGAACATAAGATGTTGTTTCACTTTTTGTCATTGTCTGTGGTTGTAGCCACTCTCTTTTGGAGGGTAAATTTATATAGTTGGTTTATGGGAATGACAGGTTTGGTTTGGTATTGTCCAAAACTATTACACTACTCGATGGTGAAGCCCTATCAAAAATTGACGTTGTAATTGTTGATGATGTACCTTGCAAGGTTACTATCTCTTTCCTTTGATGTTTTGGCTTGCTACTAGAATATATTGTTATCTTGTATACTCAATGAAATATTTCAGGATAAAAACGGAAGCATTGTTCTCAAGCATAGGGAGGCTTTGATCCACACTGACGGGACTGGCCTAATATCAGAAGATTTAGCTAAGAAATGCCCTACAGATGTATTTAAGGGGAACCTTTTGAGGATACATGACGTGAGTGTGTGCTTCCCCGTCCCCCATATTGAATTCATGCTCCGGCCAGTTGCTCCAAAAGTCCGAACTGATGGAGAGAGGCGGGCAGTATATTTCAACACCCCATTGTGCATCTTGTCAGAAAATATGATTTTTTTTATTTCTCACTTACCATATTTGAACTATATATTAGGTCTCTGAAGGTTATGGTTTTGTGAAGATAATGATAACTCATTTGGGCAAATTTTGATATGCCAAAAGAAAACTTGGATACACACATGGCACAGCTCCTTTTAGTAATACAAACTTGACACATAGTAAATTTGAATTTTGAATCAGTGCGGTTTGAAACTTTTAGCTGTTTCACCATGCTATGCTTTAAGTTCTCCATAGAATGCATTCTGCACTCGGGCACTGATTATAGTGGAAGCTCATTGGCACCCAATATCATCGGTCACACCAATTGTTCTCTCAGTTGTGGAAAAGATTGGTGGTACCTTATTTTACTTTGCAACTCACCTAAAGCATCCATTATGGGTTGGACGGCACTGAACTTTTCACCCTAATGAGCTTAATAATATGGCACACATCCTAATGAGCTTAATAATATGGACACTTGTGTTAGTAGTGGAACATAACGTTCTGTACTTTGATAAGACTTGTCTCCACTAGATCCTAGATGATTGTGTCCCTCTGCTTGTTTAATCTCATACTGAACTTAAACAACCTGGCATGTCGACCATGTTAGATCAGCAAACACATCATCCGTAGATTGTGATACACCATATGATGTTACCATTGGTTGCAAACTTGCAATATATCATGCTACAACATCAAGTCCATCACATTATTGTTTAAAAGAACGACAGATTTAAGATGAGATGAGAAATTTGTGGACTCGACTAACAAATAGGTGTTAGTGGTTAACTTTACCCCAAAATCATGTTTTGGAAATAGCTAATAGTTATCAAAATTGTTGCTTGCTATTTCTAGCTAACCCTGCTTTTCACTTTTTAGTTTTCTTATTAATTATTTTGGTACTATTATTCAATTCTATATTATAACTTACACAGGATAGTGTGGATTCAAAGGAGGATCAATTTGACATCGATGATCATGTAATCTGTGGAGTAAACAATATCATGATCTTTTCTCTGTTATTTTTCAAATGCTCCATTAGATAACTAAACAGTGTATTGCTCTTCCCCTTCCTCTCTCTAGCCTCTTCTTATGCAGGTCCGTATGTTCTATAATGGACTTGCTGTAAAGGGAACCCTTCTTGTTGTTAGAAAGGTATATATTTATCATGAATGGCTTGAGTTTATTGTCGTTGGAGTGTTATCGTTTAGAGCAAGTATAATAAGGGGCTTATAGCCCGCTTACGTGACACTTTTGTCTATATGGAGGAGAAAGACAAGAAAAAATGAGGGGAGTGGTTTCTCATGCAAGAGCTCACCTCTACACATGCTCCTAGGCAAATGTAATAAATATGGAGAAAGAGAATGCGAGAGGCTGGAACAAAGGACTAGTATAATAGCCAACTTCATCATATGATTGACTATGTATGATGTCTATAAATGACATGACAGCATCATATGGCCATCAATTGGCTATACTATTAGCCATGCTCTTAGCAGATTAGCAGTTCTAGTGAACAAATGGTTGCATGGAAACATTACCTTCATTTCCTATCTTTCCCATCTGCCATTTTGTTGGTGGTACCTTTTCCCGCACGTTCAACACTTCTGGCCCACAACTTACACAATACCATGAGTTAATGACAGCCTGAGAATCCAATACTAGTAATATAATTGAGCAATCACATCAATTATTGGTTTTCTTTTACATCATTTTTGTTCACTTTATGTCGGTCAAATTTTGAACTTTTCTTACCATTTTTTAAGAATATATTTCTTATGTATTGCAGCTTCCTGAGAGGACTATCCATATACGACCATCAATGATAAAAGTAAACTCAGATCCTAGTTTATCAGGTGGGCACTCCTTCAACTCACTGGAAATTGTTTCAACGAGGTAAGTAACCTGGATATGCATTTACTAGATTTGAGTATATGAGTAGGGGGGATATCTTGCATAGGCCATAATTTAGAATTTTAGATGCGATCATTAAACTACTTTGGTTTTAGCAAGAACTGGGAAAGTTCCCATGAAACTGTGAAAGGCAGTTCTTTACTTGGTACATGTTTTGTCTTCGATTTTATAGTATTATTAAGGTCACCCATGCTTAACTAACTGATTAAGCTTTCTGTGAATCAGTTTGGTAGCTGAAGTCACAGAGTTAATTTCTTTGTAGTGGTAGTGCTACGGTTTTGATAAATGTTGAGATATTTTTCTGAGCATTCTCTACAGCTAATGAAATTCTTGCCTTTTGTTGGCACTTCACAACATTTTTCCAGCAACCGACCCAAAAGGGCATTGACTTCAAGGTTTTTAATCACGCTGCTTCAATATGGAGGGGTTCCAGCGGATTATTTTATGGAGCTTCTAGGGAAGGCACTAAAAGATGTTGAGAAAGCTCGCCATAAAACTAGAGATTCCCTTGAAGGTTAATTTGAAATATCATGAATGGAGCACGTAATTATGCTGCATTTTGCTATAAATATGGGATATGCTGCATTTCTTTGATGTTTAGGAATTTGTTACTTTTAACATCTCAAGTATGCATTTATCTAGTGGCAGTTATGCCTTCACTTGCAATTTCTATTAATGTGATCCCCCTTACAGTTGCATTTAACCACGGTGACATGGATGATTTAATGTCTGCACGGATGATCCTTTCTGGAATTCGACCAGAAGATGAGGCATACTTACAGCACCAGCTTACGACAATGACCAAAGAGGAAAGAGAAGGATTCAAACAAGGTAGGCTCCCTGTCGATCAGTGTTATTATCTGATGGGCACAACAGATCCTACAGGGACACTAAAGCCCCATGAAGTCTGTGTGATATTGTAAGTGGTCCAGTAACCCACCATATCCTTTCTATTGCTCGGTCTTTCCTTTATCTCTTCCTTATGCTTTTCAATTTTTCCGACTGCCATAATCTTGTAATTTTACATAAACAGGATATTGGTTTCTCTTGATCTGTTTATCATGTTACAATTTGTTGTAGAAGGGGAATGCAGAACTTAAACATTATTTTGTTTCTGTTTGTAAACCAGTGAGTCGTTAGGTAATGTATTGAAATTTAGCTTAGACTTTAAGTATTGGTATATTGCTCACCTTTTCTGGTCAGCTTAGACTTTTGGATGACCTTTCCACACCCACCCCCTCTCCCATAAAAAATAATAATATTTTGGATGAACTAGCTGGTGCTTGCAACTCAACGTGTACCAGGACCAGGATCGAGGGGTGTTAGTTCAAATCCTTAGTAACTAAGTTTTAAGAACTATAATTGCAGTTCACTGACTTCACTCTAGTCCATATTTTAGGCTTGAAGGAGCCTAGACATGAGTGTGACTGTAAGTATGTTGATCACTGTTCTTCATCATCTAGCTTAAGCTTTTAGGTGAACTAGTTGGTGTATGCAACTATGCACTTTCATATGGACTAGAGGTTTATGCTTTTGTTTCATGAATGCATTAAAGAACACACTTCGTACATCAATTTGATTTTTTTCAAGTCCTTCAATAGTTCTATGATCATCCTGCCCTTAAAGAAGAATGTCTGACAAGGAAGCAACAACTTCAGGATGTACCTTTTTTATTTAGACTGGTTAGAACATGGTTTTAATAAATGCATGGTCTGATCTTGGTGGATGATATGTTTTCATGCTGGATTAAGTATGTGTGACTAATTACATATTGCCAGGGCACAAAATATGTGAGACTTCTAGACTTTGGTAATGTTCTAGATTTAATTATAGACCATACCATCCTTTTGAAGGGAATTAGAAGGTTGAAGTGTTCGTCTGTTCCTTTTATTACTAATTATGTCTCATCAAACAGGGACCATGGCCCCATTTCTGGAGAGGTTCTTGTCTATAGACATCCTGGGCTGCATTTTGGTGATATACATGTCTTGACAGCCACATATAGTGAGGCTATACAGGATTTCGTGGGAGACTCCAAATATGCTATTCTTTTTCCTGTTTCTGGACCACGATCTCTAGCTGATGAGATGGCAGGTGGTGATTTTGATGGTGACATGTACTGGGTCTCGAGAAACCCACAGGTCGGTCATTGTTTCTGACATGTTGCAGTGAACTGTTTATTTTTGCTATCCTTGCTAACAAACATAATCCTTTGGAGCATATTGCACACTAGTTTATTACGGAGTATATATTTCATCTATTCCTAGAGCATGGAATTTGGGATGCATTGCTTATTTTCTTTATACAGGGTTTCTGCAAGTTGAATTCCGTTCCTACTTACTACACGCATTGCTGATTTTATTTATACAGGGTTTCTGCAAATTATATAAAATGCATATTTTTGTCTCACTTCAAAATAAAACAATGATATTTAAACGTTACCATCTAGTGGATAAATATAACATCACATAGCTAATATTGTTTCTGAAAGTTGCATCATTCAGGATATAGCCTATATTTACTACTCATTTGTTCCTATAATCTTTCCTGGTATTTTTAACAGAAAGGTACATTTGATCCAAATGTCTTGACTTCTTTTTAACTCAGTTAATGATACAAATTAGGTTTTGTGTCCTTCAGGGTTACCTTTTTTTATTCTAAAATATAAGTACCTTGCGTTGTGTTTTCAGAATTTTTTAGTGTATCTTTGAAGCATCATTTTGTTAAGTAAACTGCCCATCTTTCCCTGTCACCATGAGCTTTTGGCTGCACTGGTTGGTTCTAAATATGGTATCAAAGCCAAGAGGTCTTGAGTTCAAGACTTGACTCGTATCTTTCTTTCGACAGAACATACAGCTCACTTGCAGTTCACGTCTTATTGTCTTAGGCATCAGAGAGTCCGACTTGAGGGAGAGTGTTGAAGTATAAATGCTGGGCTTTTGGGTGGTGCATGATACTCAATACATTTGGCACCAAATTGTTTTGGACTTTTGGTGACATCATACTCTGCACAGAATTGTAACTATCATTAAAATGACCTTTTCAGTTACTGAAGTACTTCAAACCATCGGAACCATGGGATCCAAGAAACCCTCCAAGGAAGGCTAAACAAGAGAAGCCTCAGGATTATGATGAATCCAAGCTGGAACACATTTTATTCCGTGAATTTTTTAGAATTAGGTTTACACCAAGGTATTATTTACTCGTAATCCTTATTTTTTTTTGCATGGGCACTTAAATCTGCTATTTCTGTTATGCATCTAAGCCCGCAGAGCGTCTTGACATTGAAAGGCCATCGAAATTTTGTGGTGTCATAATTTAAGGCCAAAATACCTAAAATATTGTTCGAGTTACCTAAATTGTATTTTTAATATACAATGGTTGTCTCATTTACCAAGTCTGGACATAAACTGACAGGATCCAGGTCATGTGGCGAAGATCATACAAATCGACATGTGTACATCTATAATGAAGTCAATTATGATTAATAAGTGTTGAAGTGTATATGTGGATTGCCTAGCCCTTTCCATCAGTTCGGACTTTTGGTTGCGTTGGCTAGTGCATGAAGCTTAACATGGTATCAGAGCCTAAGGTCTTGTGTTCAAGTCCTGGCTTTCGCAGTTTATTCAAAAATTGCTGCTGCCCCCCTCTTATGTCCACGTATAGGCCTCTTGAGCCATACCTCGGTCTATTCACGTGTTTACTTCCCGCGTCACACGTGAGAGGGGGTGTTCTATTCACGTGTTGACTTCCCGCGTCACACGTGAGAGGGGGTGTTCTATTCACGTGTTGACTTCCCGCGTCACACATGAGACGGGGTGTTGAAGTGTATATGTGGATTGCCTAGCCCTTTCCATCAGTTCAGACTTTTGGTTGCGTTGGCTAGTGCATGAAGCTGAACAATAAGATTCTACCACATATTAAATTACCATCATCATACCTTCTTGGACCAAGATCATTGTTATTAAGAACTTTACATCATAATCATACATTAAGTTCTAGTTATAGATAAATTTGTTAAGAGAAAAGGAACAGTGTTGACATATGCTACCGTTTCAAAATATTATGTCCTATATTTACAGTGTCCAGTAAAAAAAGTATTGGTTATTTGTTTACAGATAACATCACATATATTTTGATATTACATCTGCTCAGCATGTTGTAGTTTTCTAGTTTTGCCATGACCATTTTGTAGACCCTGTATTATATATGAGCTATGCAAGTTATGTGGTCTAACGTTGTTTGAGATTGTTCCTTCCTTCAGTTATGTGCTGGGTGCAGCTGCAGATTGTTGGCTGGTATATATGGATCGGCTACTGACATGTGAAGTTCAAGAAGACAAAAAAGAATGGGAGTCGATAAAGGCTAAGATGCTTGAATTGGTTGACATTTACTATGAGGCTCTGGATGCCCCGAAAAGTGGGAACAAGGTTTGAAATCCTGTGTCGATATACACTATAGTTACTGTGATTTTTACTGTTCACCTGCTGGTATGGGATTAAACATCCAAAAACGTTATGTGTTACGGAATTAGTGGTGATGAGTTAGTAAGGATGGACTTTAATTGTGTTCCAGTCCAATTATTTATTTAGTTGAGTACTTGAGTTGGGATATAAGGAAATTGATCAAAGCCCTCTATAAAAAAGGTAGCTAGTATTTTGGGATTAAGAAAAAGAATGTAACAACCCTCCCTTCCAGTTGCTAATCCCTATCCTCTATAATTCTCTATCCCTACTACTGCTACCCTTATTCACAACCATGATATGAACTCGTGGATGATGTATGGTAGAAAAAATCGATATAAATACTACTTCCGTCCTGGTTTATTGGTCCTCTTCGTATTTTGTGTCAAAATTTGACCATACATTTAAATGACAAAAGGTCAATGCATGCCATAGAAAATTATATCGTTGGATTCGTATTTGAACATAGTTTCCGATGATACTATTTTTTGTGACATGCATTAACATTTTGTTAATTAAATCCTTGGTCAAAATTTGACACAAAATACTAAGCGGACCAATAAAACAGGACGGAGGTAGTACTGTGCAATGCATATGATGATGACGTATCTGTACATGTGGCCCAGGGGGTTCTGGAACACCCCTATCCTGTCGTAACAGGGAAGACTTGGCATGGATAGGTCATGTTCCTTATGGATCTGGCACTTAAACCAACTATAAGGAGATTTTCCCTTAGTTGGCTCCATCTAAGCCCAAATCAGAGATCACACCTTACTCTTCTAAGAGAAGACGTCTATATAAAGGACCCAGAGGCCTATGCAGGAGGTATCTTACAATGACAACTCAACTCAAATCACAACACAACACAAAGTTAATCAACCACCGATGCAATTTGCTAGTGTACTTTTAGCTAATATTGGTGACTGGATATGTGATGATCCAGGTACAGTGACGATGTAGGTTACATAAAAAACCTGCATACAGTGGATGATTCTTTGTATGCTTTCATCACCGGGACGTTAACTGTCTTTCTTAATAGTTTCATTTTGATTTGCAACAAAATGTATATTACATACATTGTACTTCAGCTAAACTTTCTTTCTTCATCCATCTTCCAAATAGATCACTATGCCTCGTCATCTGAGGGTTGAAGTATATCCACACTTTATGGAAGGGAAAGGGTTTACACCTCCCTACACTTCCACATCAGTGCTGGGCAAAATCTATGATTTAGCAAAGTCGCATCAGCCTGAAGCAGCTCACCCAATCAGTAAGTTGATATTTCTAGTTGTTTTCTCTATATAACCTCTTATTTAGCTAGCATATATGTTTTTCATTTGAAACTGATTTCTACCGATCATGTGTTATATATGTACAATCTGCAACGATTGCAGAGGAAAAAATGTGGAACTTATAGTACAATTATATAATCGCACAGTAGCCAGACTAGGGGCATCTGTGCTGAGCTAATAGCTTTTGAGAGATTATATGTAATGTTATAATGTCTGTTCACCATTAGTTCCTCGATTTGCTAGAAAATCAAATTTAGGCTCAATCAACCGGCGACACGATAGTGGAATCTTTGGGCCGTTGTGATGCATGTCTGATGTGTCTCGATGATATTAATTTTTACCTAACTAGGTTTGGTGGTTGCCAGTTTCCAGTATACAGCTGCCCTCTCTTTTGCTCCTACGTGCTTTGGTTGCACTGAATTTGCAAGTGCTGAAAGTATCTCTGTCAAAGCAATTAGGCAGTTTCAAGCAAAGATGAATCCTGGCCATCAGGCAACTATGAGTTATGGAAATTCTGGATTTAGCATAACGCCATCGGTGACGTAGTTTGATGCATTACAGTAGGACTATCGAGGATAAGTAGTGACCAGCCAGGCGTTTTGCAAACTTCTGTATAGGCTGTAGGGTGAAGACGCACACCTCTCTGGGCTTTCGGTAGTGCTGTGCTGTGGCAGAAACTCACCTGAGTCCAGGTATGCGGAGTAGAGAGAATAGGGACAAGATCTCTTTCATGATAATTCTTGGCTAGTACTCCCTCTGTTCCTAAATATAAGTCTTTTTAGAGATTTCAATGTGGACTACATACGAAGCAAAATGAGTGAATCTACACTCTAAAGTATGTCTATGTACATCTGTATGTAATCCCTACCGAAATCGCTAAAAAGACTTATATTTAGGAACGGAGGGAGTACATGCATAGAAAAAAACATCGTTAATTTTTGCTATATAACCTGACCGAATCCGATGGAATATAAAGTTGCATAATTTGTTATACAGCTACAACAGTTAGATATCTCTATCTGATTAATTCACAGCGGTGGGAATCCGATGGTTTTTGCTGTTTATGCATTTCCAGTTGCGTGTGTTTGGGTGAGAAAGATGCACCCTAGGCATGGCTGTGCTAGGAGTTAAGATGGGAACATAAATTAATAAATAAAGCTTATAATCTGGTTAGAAATAAGGTAAGATCAGTTAGCACTTTCATGCCAACTATCATCAGCAATGTGGTAAAATAATTTTAGACTCTGATACTCCATAAGTTCGCGTCTCCATTCTGTTCTTCAGATATAACTCCGCTGACATGCTTCACCGAGGAAGTAGTAGCCGAAGAACGCAACATGTGGGGTCCCCGTTACAACGAGTATCGGACAGCGAGCACGTTGCTATTGGACCGTAATCGCCCAATCTCTAAAGAAGAGAAGAAGGCGAGGTTCCGGGAGCTGGACCAAAAATACAAGCAGGTAAAGCGTGGACCAGTCCACTGCTGGCTAACAAAGTCGTGACTCCCTGACTGGCTCGTGAGAACTGGGTTGGGTTGCAATGCAGATGCTGTACGACGCGGCGGAGCTGGAGGAGAGCCACAAGCACCCGTTCGCCGTTTACAGGGAGGCCTGCGCGATCTACCAGCTGGTGTACGAGCACGCGGTGCGGTGCCGGTGCGACGACGAAGGAAGGCGTGTCGAAAGGTGCGGCTTCGCGTGGAGGGTCGCCGGCCGCGCGCTGTGCGATTTCTACCTGATCAAGCGCCGCGGCGACAGGGTGGTCGCCGACATGCAGGTCCTCCGCGACGCCTTCAGGAAGGACCGCGGTGCGTAGCATAGCATGCATGCATGCAGCCATATAGCGCTATAGGCAGAGTATATATATAGCTTTAAGTAGATATCTGATTATCTATGTATGTACAGTACGTAGTAGTAGCAGCAGTGTCATTGTGGTGTACGCGTACAGACCTGTGTAGTACAAGTTTGAATTGCTGGTGCATGTGTATTTATGTGTACATGCATGTAATTAAAGACCTTCTCTATACGGAGAGCATGTCCTCTGCCTGGGTAACCCTTCCGCAAAAACGGAGCCCGTCTCTCAACAGCAGTAGGCCATCCATGTTGCTCTCTAGGATACGCCCGGAAAGGTGCATCACAGTTATACACTAGTAGAAAACAAACCTTTCATCCGCCCCTTTAATCCTGGTTTGATTACGGTTCGGGATTAATGTGATCATTAGTCCCGCTTCCAACGGCTAGAAGCGGTTGGGGGCCCGGGTATCATTGGTCCTGATTCATTTTATATCTATAGTCTTAGTTTGTGGCAGACTTGCGTCAAGCTAGGGCCCCACGAGCCTCTTTAGTCACGATTTGTAACCGGGACTATTGGTAGACTTTTAGTCCTGGTTTGTATAACTAGCCGGGACTAAAAATGTCCATATATAAACCCTTCGTCCAGCTGGAGCCCATTCTCTCTGTTTTCCCCTTTCTCTCCTCTACTCTTCCCCTTGCTCGAGCTCATCCTCCATTTTTGCCAAAGATTTGTCAAGATTTGAAGGCACCCCATCTATCCAAGTGTTCACAAAGGTTAGCAACTTTGTCCTTTCATCTCTCATTGCTAGATTAGCTCGTGCAATGCTATAAGTATAGTGATTTGTGGATTTTAGTTTGGGAGTAATTATGTGGGAGTTTATTTGATTTATATGCAATTTGAGCTAAATTAACTTCTTAATTTGCATATGTGTAGGTGTGGTTTACTTAGTGCCTTCCCGTCCCCGTCCTAACCACCGTCGATTCCCTGCACTGTCCCGTCGCCGGCACCACCTTGGTGAGCCTCTTGTTCGTTCTTTTTATATAAAAAAATCATGTTTGTATGCTTTGGATAGTTACTTGTATAATTTTCTTACTTATATGATTGTTTGTTATACATAGTGCCATGGTCTTGATATCCGTCCCCGTTGGCCTCGTCCGATTTATGATTCGGATGTGGTATATTCTCTTTTATAACTATTTGTTGCAATTCACGTATATGACAATTATGCCCATCAAGTTGACATAGATATTTTTATCTAGGAGGTATATGAACCGGAAATTGCAATCGACTCTCTTGTCGAGAAGTTAAATTTAGTTGAAAAAGAAAACGAGTATTTGAAAGAAAAATTGAAAAGAATTGAAGAAGAGAAGATGAAACTGGAGTTGTATGTTGCCGATGTCCTCGATGATCACAAGATCAAGATGGATGCAATGCCCTTGAAGATTACAAAGATTAGAAAAATATGCCGCTAATAAAGAGGCTTGGTATCACTATGCTGTTGGATCAATTGTTACCTTAGTTGCGATCTTGATCGAATTTGTTGTTGCATTTAAATGCTTTAGCATTTGTTGTTGCATTTAAATGCTTTAGCTAGAGAGTTTGTATGTTGTTTTATGAGAATAAGTGTGTACGAAATTTATGTATGAACTTGTATTAATTTGGTCCTTTTGTTGTTCTGTAATGAAGATGAGCCGACAATGGATGTACGATGACCGATGCTCTCCCCAGTTCATTGATGGGGTGCATACTTTTCTGCGTGCGAATGAGGCAAACAAGTGGGATGATGGTTTTATGTGTTTTCCATGTGTTGTCTGTAAGAATGATAATAATTACTCTAACTCAAGAGTCATTCATGTCCACTTGTTTACGTCCGGTTTCATGTTCGGCTATAACTGTTGGACCAAGCACGGAGAAAGATGGGTTCTAATGGAAGAGAATGAAGAAGAAGAGGATGATGACAGCTATCCTAGACATGGGTTCCCTGAATACGATGGTACTACAATGGGGGAAGAAGCTGAAGAAGAGGCATGACATGAGCCCGCTGATGATCTTGGTCGGGCCATTGCTAATGCAAAGAGAAACTGCGCAAGTGAAAAGGAGAAGTTGAAGTGCAGTGCATGTTAGAGGATCACAATAAATTGTTGTACCCAAATTGCAAAGATGACAAGAAAAAGCTGGGTACCACACTGGAATTGATGCAATGGAAGGCAAAGAATGGTGTATCCGACAAGGGATTTGAAAAGATGCCGATAATGTTAAAGAAGATGCTTTCAAAGGACAACGAATTGCCTGACAGTACGTACGAAGCAAAGAAGGTTGTCTGCCCTCTAGGATTACAGGTGCAGAAGATACATGCATGCCCTAATGACTGCATCCTCTACCGCGGTGAGGAGTACGAGAATTTGAATGCATGCCCGGTATGCGGTGCATTGCGCTATAAGATCAGCCACGATGACCCTGGTGATGTTGAGGGCGAGCGCCCCAGGAAGAGGATTCCTGCCAAGGTGATGTTGTATGCTCTTATAATACCGCGGTTGAAACGTTTGTTTCAAGACAAAGAGCATGCCAAGTTGATGCGATGGCACAAAGAAGACCGTAAGAAAGGCATGAAGTTGAGAGTACCCGCTGACGGGTCGCAGTGGAGAAAAATCAAGAGAAAGTGGCGGGGCTTCGCAAATTACGCAAGGAACATACGGTTTTGTTTAAGTGCAGATGACATTAATCCTTTTGGGGAGCAGAGCAGCAATCGTAGCACCTGGCCTGTGACTCTATGTATCTATAACCTTCCTCCGTGGTTGTGCGTGAAATTATGATGCCAGTGCTCATCCAAGGCACCGAACAACCCGACAACGACATTGATGTGTATCTAAGGCCATTAGTTGAAGAACTTTTACAATAGTGGGACAACAAATGTGTACGCGTGTGGGATGAGCACAAACAACAGGAATTTGACCTACGAGCATTGCTGTTTTTAACCATCAATGATTGGTATGCTCTTAGCAACCTTTCAGGACAGACAAACAAGGCATACCACGCATGCACGCACTGTTTAGATGATACCGAAAGTATAATTTGGATAAATGTAAGAATAATGTGTACCTGGAACATCGTCAATTTCTTCCAATCAAGCATCTCTTAAGAAAGAAAGGCAAGCATTTCAAAGGTGAGGCAGACCACCGGAAGAAGCCTCGCCACCGTACTGGTGATGATATAATTGATATGGTCCAGGATTTAAAAGTAATCTTTGGAAAGGGTCTTGGCGGACAATCTGTTTCGAATGACGCTGACGGACACACACCCATGTGGAAGAAGAAATCTATATTTTGAGACCTACCCTATTGGAAAGACCTAGAGGTTCGCTCTGCAATAGACGTGATGCACGTGACGAAGAATCTTTGCGTGAACTTGCTAGGCTTCTTGGGCGTGTATGGGAAGACAAAAGATACACCGGAGGCACGGGAGGACTAGCAACGTATGCACAAAAAATATGGCATGCATCCAAAGCAGTATCAAGGTCCTGCCAGCTACACTCTTACCAAAGAAGAGAATGAAATCTTCTTTGAATGCCTGCTCAGTATGAAGGTCCCGTCTGGCTTCTCGTCGAATATAAAGGGAATAATAAATATGGAAAAGAAAAGTTCCAGAACCTAAAGTCTCATGACTACCACATGATTATGACGCAATTGCTTCTAGTTGCATTGAGGGGGCTTCTACCAGAAAACGTTCGATTAGCCATTGTGAAGCTATGTGCATTCCTTAATGCAATCTCTCAGAAGGTAATCGATTCAGAAATCCTACCAAGGTTACAGAATGATTTGATGCAATGTCTTGTTATTTTTGGGTTGGTGTTCCCATCATCCTTCTTCAATATCATGACGCACGTCCTAGTTCACCTAGTCGACGAGATTGCCATTTTGGGTCCTATATTTCTACACAATATGTTCCCCTTTGAGAGGTTCATGGGAGTCTTAAAGAAATATGTTCATAACCGTGCTAGGCCAGAAGGGAGCATCTCCAAGGGCCATGAAACAGAGGAGGTCATTGAGTTTTGTGTTGATTTTATTCGTGACCTTAAGTCGATTGGTGTTCCTGAATCGCGACATTAGGGCAAACTAGGTGGAAAAGGCATGCTAGGAAAGGAGCAAGTAATATGTATGGACGGGCATTCTTGGGCGCAAGAACACTACACAGTTCTACAAAGTTCTAGCTTGGTGGCTCGGTATATAAAGGAACACTTGGATATTGTACGCTCCAACACTACTAGGGAAAAGCCTAGCAGTAGCGCAGGTTTTTGGCCTATCAATAGCGCGGGCAACCGCGCTACTGATACGACGCTATAGCTAAAGGTTAGCAGTAACATTTGCTGACATGTGCTACTGCTATATCTACTTAGTAGTAGCGCGTGCTGCAACAGCCGCTACTGGCAATTACTAGTAGTGTGTCTCATTGCCCGCGCTACTACTATTATTTCGTATTTCATTTCTTTTTATTTTAGGTCATATTCATACACCTGTATACACGTTTTCATATGGTAGCAATTTAGAGATTATTTTTACATTATAATGTGTTATTAAATCACTAGGTGAAAGAACCACAAATTAGTTTCAAATGGATGGATCCTAAGTGACCAAGTCATGGATTATCGTGATAATCCATGACTTGGTCACTTAGGATCCATCCACTTGAAACTAATCCGCGGTTCTTTCACCCAATGATATAATAACTCATCATCATCACACTAATATAAAAGCTCTTGCATCATATCATCACCAACAACACTAGATAATAATCATCATAGTCATTACCACCAACACTATTTAATCATCATAGTCATAGTGTAACTATCTAATCACCACCAACACTAGCTAATAATAATCATCATAGTCATCACCACCAACACTCATTCTAGCTAGCTAATCACTGATGCTGCTCTCTCTCAAGTAAAATAGCATAGAACATGTGTAGCACCCCTGATTCATCATATTGGAGCATGCAGATGAACCTGTCTCCTAATTGTGGGT